TTGAACGGCCAGAGACGGCAAGCGTTTCACGGTGGCGTTGAAGGTCACGTTTTTCATAACCAAATACCCACCTTGAGTCCCGAAAGATAACATTGATCGCCGAACATCAAACTGCACCCCTTATGCCGCCATTCAATTTGAATGCCGCACAGGACTTCAAGCTCGCCTCAGTTTTCACTTTCATGCGCTGTGTAAATAAATGATAGAAAGGAACTGATAAGCACTGCTGGGGTCTTGGCCATGAAGCGTTTGTTGCAACCAAGAGTTGTGATATTCCGTACTGGTGAAATGTACATCGATGCGCATCTCTATCCTTGCAAAAATACATTTAGAGCAATTCATACAAGATTGCATTTTGGAAGAAAATATTCAGGCCGATATGCGACAGATTATTAAGCAACGATTCATGGATTATGAAACGACTATATGTATCTGGCTGGCAAATCTGCTCGGATTTTTACCAGCAGGGGTTTGAGATTAATTTCCATCTGACCGATCATATCGTATATGTCCATAGCACACCTGCTAAAAGAGATCTCACGGCTCATTGTACCATTCCTAGCTTGAGCTCACCAAGCCAGCTCGACCGTATGCGGCACAGTACACATTCCCATTTAATATTCATTACACAATCAATACTGTAAAACCCATCATAACAGAATCATAGTGCAGGACGGGAAACCCCCTTGTGTTTCAAAGAACGTGCAGAAATGTGTAAAGAGCGCATAGCCTATTTGCATATTTAATCATTGTTGACATTAGCTGAGATAATGGGGCCCCAAAGTGTGGAATTGAAGACTGAGGAGATGTGGTTTCCAGAGGCAGACTCTGGGGCAAGTGAGCATCGGTGACTATCCTTTACTGATGAGCCCTCATAAGGATAAAACTGTTTTGTTGCCAGATAGAAGGGTAAAAAAACAATTATCATATTTTTTACTGGCAAATGAGGTTCCAATGGTGTAAATGCTTACCCCGAGCTCTCATACTCTGATGGTGCATTGTCTTTGAGTTGTGCGCCTTTTGGCTTCATCTGGTCCAACCCATGTGAGACTAGGCTCTAAGGAAAGCTTTCTCGGGTGTGGACCAATCAACTTCAAGGACAGTGCATACATTATCAGAGTTATGTTTTTGTTTGCATTATGACTGCAGGTATTGTGGTCTATGCAAACATGACTCCTTGTAAAAAAGGTGTCAGTTTTGTTGCCAGATAGAAGGGTAAAAACCAATTATCAGGATAAAACTGGTCCAGAGTTGTCCATATCTCGATGACTGCTGCCTGTCCGACCGTCAGTCGCATTTGCTCAAATGAATGTTGATGGTTGGATGGGGAGAATGATGGTGCAGTCTTCACGAGCCAACAGGCAACCAGAGGTACGGATCAGGAAACCCGAGTTTGGTCACAGTTGATACGGGCACCTCTCTATGTACAGAACAGGTCGGCTCCTTAAGGGTTGTACGGAAAAGTGCAATTTGCTACGTTTATGCAAGGCCTACGCACGCAGTGCACGATGGAAGTTATTTGACATTGTATTACACTTTACCACATTGGGCAATGCAGGTTGGTGAATGGGACTGCTACTCAGGACTTGCAGAAATGTCACACGCCCCTGGGAATGGGAACTCAGGTCGCCGGGCTCATAGTGCAGTGTGCTCACTACTATGCCACCACTCTAAACCGTTCAAGTACAATATTATCATATTATCGTACAAGGGACCAAAGTAAACATTCGTGGGCATTTTGTCTCGGGAATACATGTGGAGACTAATTGTACCATTACATTACTCAAAACGGCATGTTTCTGGCCACTTTATTGGAGAGAGAAAAACATTGCAGTGTACAGCAACAATTGTGCAGGCCGGTTTTCATTTAGGGACTTATTGCTTTTTGATAAAAAAAAGAAACGCATAATATGTAGCACCAATGGTTGTTTTTGGTTCACATGGTGGTGCTGATGTTTGAAAACATCCAGGTAATACGAAATGACAGCATGTCTGAGCACTGAATTTAGGAAGTGAACATAAACCATTCTCTATGGCAGACCGGGTTATTAAACCAAAGTCAAACAATATCAGGCTGAAACGCAATGTAATCATAATACCACGTCAAAATTCTGCTGCCAAGTCAGCATACCGAGAAGTACTTTATATATCCAACACTAGATTTAATATTCTTTGGGTCTTTCGGTAAAGTCACGTAGATAGAACGATAAAATAATGAAAATGAAAATAAAGTGAATTAAAAATAATAATAACATATCACGACGTTTCCATCGCAACACAAGCAATCGTCATCAGGTCATCAGGTCATGGCGATCGAAACGTCGTGATTTTTTAAATATTTTTATTTAATCACTTTATTTTAATTTTTTATTTCTATTCTTTTATTGTTCTATCTACGTGACTTTACCGAAAGACCCAAGCAATATGAATTCGTGCAGCCACGAAAGCTTTACGTCAAGATTCAACACTAGTTTCTAAACACAATAAGATAAACGATGCGTGGCATTCATTAATATTATAAAGATTACGTAGCGTGTTCAATGCAGATGGGTTTTTTAATCGCCCATTAAATCAACCTCATTTTGTCCCTGGCCCAAGGCAGATTCATTATCTCACCCCCCCCCCCCCCCCCCATAGCGAGATACTGTCATGCCCTCTGTTTGTTTGGGGACTTCAACTCCACACCGACATGAATGCCGTTGAGTGTGCGAAAGCTTGTGCCAGTTGTATAAGCACGTGTTGTAATGTGATGACACGTTCCATTGGGAGTAGCGATGCTTATTAAGGAGTTGGAAGCTCCGTCTATATATACACAAGAGGTGTGCTTAATATAATGAAATAAGTATATTCTGAGGATGTACAAGTAATTATAGGCAACGGTCATCACACGAATTCCACAATGCCCCTCCCCATACAGCTCTGCACGTCGTGAAAAGTACCTGTGCTCCGTAATCCTGCACATCAATGTCCCAAGTACAATATCGGCATGCTGTGTAAATCATCAGACAAACTTGTTTCACACGGTACAGCATTAAGCGTGGAGCGGTGGCACAGTGGTGAGCGCACTGTGGGCTAAGCACTGTGCCAGTTGAATTCCCGGCCACAGCGATCGTGAGTGGCGAGTGACAGCTGGACCACCATCGGCCGATCCACGTGGCTAGGCCGTACTGACGAGCGTGGCGAGGTACGGGCAAAAACAACCCCCGTCACCGAAAACGATGTGGGGGAGGCCTTCATCCAGCAGTGGATGAATACATTGCTCTGCACTAAATGCGAACACCGTAACAAACCAGCAATGATAATAACATTGTGAGGGTGCTCAATAGTGTACCTGCAAGGGCTCGTCGCCAAAATGTTAAATATACATAACCACACGAGCATAACAAGTTCACATTACACTGCCTAATGAAAAACTATTTCACTGAAGCAATTTTACGATAAAACATCAAAAGAAAACATATGTTTGATGGTATTCATTAAGTGCAGCATATATCCAAGCAGGTTGATAGAATTGAAAGGAAACTATTGTAGCACAAGGTGACTGCTTAATTTGAAAAGTAATGCCGAGAATAAATAATAATCATTTACATTTATTTGAAAAGCGCCTTCCACTAATGTCTCGAGGCGCCTTGTAAGATTAAGACGAAGGAAATGCCACGGGAGAATAAGGACAGCTACATCGAATAAGCGGAATAAAGATAATGTGCCTTTAAACGCGGCTTTAAAAAAGTATCCACATTGTGGGAATAAATTCAGGTGTCTATACCCGCAGATAACATCCACATAGAAGGGAAATAATAAAGTAATAAAAATAAAACATAGTAAAATAATTCTCACGACGTTTCGGCCACAACGCAAGCAGCCGTCCTCAGGTGAAGAACAGGTCTTTCCGTCTGAATGACGCTGTCTTTCCGACAGACCTGTTCTTCACCTGAGGACGGCTGCTTGCGTTGTGGCCGAAACGTCGTGAGAATTATTTTATTATGTTTCATTTTTATTATTGTATTATTTCCCTTCTACGTGACTTTACCGAAAGAACCAAGAAGATCAATCCCTGCAGTCACGAAAGCTTTAAATCGAAATTTAATATCCACATACTTTAGTCCGACATTGAACAGTAAAGCATTTCAGAAAGTAACTTGAATGGAACGAATGTGAATTTACAAACACAAGTGCCGTGCAGAAATGTGTCCTTTTTTGGAATTGTAATAAACAAAAACCAAAACCCTTTCTGTAACCAGGTAAAAGTCCAACTGGCCTCACAGTCTCAATCAAAAGGCAGCCTTTTCATGAATAATGTAAGAAAAAACGGTATCACCATATATCAATCCAATAGGGCAGTGTGTTATTTGGAATGGGGGGAAAATATAAATATTTATAGATAATAGGTGTTGGTACAGCTGGGTCACAGTCTCATTTGAGACAGATTTTGAACGGAGGGGGAAAAAACTGCATAATAACGAGGCAGCTCGGAAAAGTGCCCCTCTACAGAGAGAGCTTCAGTCAACACAATGAATGAATGAATCGATGAAACAATACAAGTGTTTAGTGGCGAAAATAACCGCAGTCTAGTTCCACAAATATATAATAAGCCGCTTTTAACTTACCCTGCAAAGTTTCAACGAGTTTCGAGAGTTTTCCAACAGCGTCCTGACCCTACATTGATATTCATGGACAATTCCACTCCCGCGTGGCATGTCAAAAAAAACAAGAGTGCCTGGAGATGAACTACGTGCACTCGAGGAGGAGATGTAACACACCACAAACTCTGCACAGATAGATTTAATAATCCATTGCCGTACTACCATTTCCTAGCAAACTCGCAGCTACAGTCCACACAACAACAGCCCGTGCTGTATATTCCCCGGCAGTCCTCTTCTTCTTACCCACGTACTCGCCAAGGATGTCGATGATTTGACGGCAAAGAAACGGAGGAACGCGAGCGAACGAATTTGCACGCCACAGCAATCAATCGACGAGTCACAGGCGGGACAACTTACCGAGAAGCCGGCCCAGAAGGGGCACGAGTGGCGCACCCTGGCCGACGTGGTGAGCGCCAGCGCAGCGAAGCTCACGGCCACGATCAGACCGCCGAGAACCATCTGAGTGACCCCCAGGGCGAGCAGGAGACGTGCGCGTGCCCGGGGCGGTCCCACCCGGGTGAGCGCTCCCAGGTGGCCCGGGCCACCGAGAGACGACCCGGTCCCAATATCGCCGTGGGACGGGGCCCGCTCTCGGGGTCGCGCAGAGGACACCCTCAGAGGCATCCTGCGGGGCCCTCCAGCCCTGGGGCCCCGAGTGCCTCGGCTGCGGTGGCAGGAGGTGGAGGAGGGCGAGGAGGAGGAGGCGGAGAGGGGTGCGGAGTAGAAGGCGGAGGACAAGGAGCTGCGAGGCGGCGGCGCATGGAGCCGGGGTGCCGCGCGCGGCGGCAGTGGCCGCGCCGTGCAGAAGAAGCTGGTGGCCAGGAGGGGGAGGAGGAGGGGGAGACGGAGGGTGGAGTTGGGGGAAAGGAAGAGACGGCGCTGGGTGAAGAGGTGGGAGTGACGAAGGTGGACGGGGAGACGGGGACGCGCTTGGAACGAGCGAAAGAGGAGATGGGAAACTCTGGTGCGCAAGATTGGGGAGGCCGAGTTTAAGATGAAGCCGGTGGCGCGGGTTAAGAAGAAGACGACGCGATGAAGGTGGAGGATAGAAGGCGCAGACGGAGACGGAGGCGTCCGAGCAGGAGAGTGAGCTGACGATTGGCGTGGCGACAGCCCTCGCGGAGATCCAGGCACCGCTGACGATGACGACGACGGCGGCGGCGCAGAAAACGGGGCGATAGTTCAAAGCGCAAAGGACACGAGGCGGTGGGCGAAGGAGCGCAGGAGGTTGTGGAATCGCTCCAGCGGGAACGCGACGATGCTGATGAGCGGCAAGCAGTCGTGACGCGTGCGGATGAGCAGCGGCAGGATGATGACGACGACGACGACGAGGTGGTGGTGGTGCGTGAACGACGTCGGCACGAAGGGACGATGCCGAGTTGCCCAGAGCCAGAGGCGTCGGCCATCCACTGGTCAGACGCCGGCGGAGTGGACGGAGGACAGGGCCTCGACGGGGAGGAGACGGAAAACAACTGACGGTCACTTGGACGTGCTCAAGACGCGTCTCAAGACGCGTCTCCCCGGAGCGCTCACGAGCAGCGAGCACCAGCCGCAAAGCGCCGGCTCGCTGGCGTGTCCTCGTCCCTCGCCTTCTCCTCGCTGCCGCCTCTGTCTGCAGCGCGCATCTCTCTCTCTCTGTGTGTGTGTGTCTCAGCAAGCAGCAGTGCGTGGATGAGTCAAGCTGTCACCTGCTGCTGCTGCTGCAGGCTAACATGTGCGTGTAGCAAGCTATGGCATCCGGCGTGTATCAACGTGTTGTCGCGCAGCCACCACCCGCCCCTTTAACGCTGCTCACGTGAGTTATTTTTTAATGTGCTGTGATCATTATGATGCTGCTGCTGCTCATGCTCATACTGCCGTTGTTTTGCCGATGCATCTGTTGCCGACGACGACGATTATGGAAGTGGCGGCGGTGGCGGTGTTGTTGTTGATAACAGTCTTAAGTCATTCCACGGAGAGCCAACAAACACCGGGATGCCCTACTGCGCGTTGAACGCGTGGGGGGTCTGCGTGGCGCGTGTGTTAGAGAGCGATAGAAGGAGGGTGGGTGGGTGTGAGTGAGCGAGAGTGGTGGTGGTGGTGCAGGAGGAGGACGGGGGGGGGGCTGTGTTTGGCTTTGGCGAATCTCCGCCCCGGAAACGCACAACCACGTCCCTGCGCGTGTCGTCTTCGCCTGCCGACTCAGTCTGCTCAGCCGGGAGGAGCAAGCGCCGTTACAGCTTCCGGCAAGAAGGGCCATACCCCCCCCCCCTGTACCCCCCCCCAACCCCGAGTCTAGCGCGCAGGTAACGGACGAGCACGCTGCTCTGCTTCGTTTTCATTTCAGGTGGAGCTGTCCAGTGCTGAAATCCGGAAAATATTCACCCATCAATCCTCCGAACCCATCAATTCCTCAACCCACCGCTTCCTGGCAGGGAGCGGGGTGCGAGGGGGGTGGTGGTGGTTGAAGGGAGCTTCGAAATAAATCAATATTCCTTGCGAAATGAAGACCCCCTGCTGCAAACGATGCTCAAATCTCACACTCAATTCCCGCCAACACCACGACCACCCTGGTTCTTCTAACGCTGCTGCTGCTGCTGATAATAACGATGATGCCTCTGCTGATGATGCTGTCTGCAGGGTCGTTTAACAGCTCATCGGCAGGATGAATTAATGATCTTCACAGTACAGTCACACGGTTGCAAATATTGTGCCGGTCTCTGCTGGATTACACTCGCACCGCGTCACGATGTGTTTTGCTGGGAGTGTGGGGCCTGAAGGATGACGCAGGGTGGCTTTTTAACCGAAGGGGCAACGTCTTAAACAAGTGTAACTGCTGCCCTGCACATGAAGCGCAATAAAGGTAAACTACTATTCTGTAAATAAAAAAAAGTTAACAGCGCAAAATTATTATTTCCAAGTCCAAACGTATTTTTCTGCTCAAATAACCGTGAAGGCGGTACTGTGAATCCGTGTACAGCACTACGCCAGTGGCGGAAATTCCACATTCCTACGGCTGGTGGCAAAGTATGTCCATGGGATAACTACTGTTGACTTACCCACAAGGTGGAACTTATTTTATCGCCCCCGTAAGGATGTCCTAGGATTGGTCAACCCCTAAGGGGCCATCCATTTAGGAGGTACGCAAAAATCTGTCAAAACTTGACCCCTCCCTGTATGCGCGCGTACTTTTACACCCACCCCCCCCCACCTGCGTACGTTCGCTTGACGCCCCCCCCCCTCTCCGAATCCTATAGAACAGCCGATATTTAATCCACGCAGAAACAATCGAGGGTGACTAATATTAACGTGTGAAATCATGACTGTAGGTGCTAAAGCGTCCACGTCAGTAGGAGAGGATCTACTGGTAGGGACCTCCTGGTTACACCAGCCCACAGGGGATTATTGTGTCCGTCCGTCCGTCGTGAATCCAAAAATGGGAGGGGTGGGGGCTGGGTGGAGAGGGGAGGGTAGGGAGGGGCTGGGTGGTGACGGTGGGGAGGGGCTGGGTGGGGTGAGGAGGGTGGGGCTGAGTGGGGGGGGTGGGAGGGGTGGGGCTGGGTGGGGAGGGGCTGGTCACCCCGTGGTGCCCTTATAAAACTCAACGTTTAACCTACTCACGCCGGCTTGTGCCCGCCCTCACAGTCGGCCATATTTGCGGAATACACCACGCCGCCGTTGACCCTGCAGGCCATTGACCGAGCAACCCAACGTTCCTACCAGCTCCCTCCGCAGGAGGAATGTGTTGTCAGGCACTTGATAGAAGATCGCTTCTGCTCGCCAACGCTTTAGCAGCTACATCAGCAGTCACATATTCACACGTAGTTTCATCACGCTTAGTTTTCTCCAATATAACCGATCAGTTTATTGTTGTTCTTGTTAACTAGCTCGCGGACTAGCTTTACACACAGCTTTGTACAAACAGTTATACTTGACCGTGTTATCCATCCTGACTGGTTATTCAAAAACACGTCTATTGTGATCTTAAACACACAATTAAAACTCGGTGACCTCGTCTCTATGTGAAGTGCGTCGACTGCACATCTGCTGCAGCAGCAGCCCCACGTAGAGACGAGTGTTCGTGCTGAAGTCCGGGCAGTAGCAGCAGTAGCAGCAGCAGCACGAACAGAGCGGCAGCTAAAACCTCGAGCCAGCGGCAGTGTGGAGCGAGGCCAGATCGCAGGATGTGTGCTAGTCCGTGGTGGGGCAGGCCACCAGACCATGTCAGACTCACTGCTGAGCTGCGTGAGAGCTGCAGTCAGGGGCACGGTGGTGGCACACGAGTGACACCTCTCCCACAGTCCCACTTCTCCCGGCAGGACTTGTTGTCTGACAGCTGGAGAAACTGAACTGTGGCTCATTTGCAGGCCAATGTAGACAAATTATTGTCCAGGCTTCACCCCCCCCCGCCTCGTTTCCTATGCGTACATTGTCAGTAGACCCCCCCCCCCCCCAATACGCAAGCGACTGCATTTGGGTTAACCCCCCTCCCTCCCCCCCTCCATGCGTACATACTCAATGGATGGCCACTAACCAGGATTTGTATTCAAATTTACGATGCAAGCCACCAGGCCGGGTATTTGTAAGTGCCATGGATTGTGATATCTGATACGCGTTTTAGATTATACCTATGTTGTTATGTATTCCCATATTTGTTGCCAAAATTACCTTTTAATAGACATTTGCCTTAAATAGTTCTGACCCAGAAGAGCAAATGTAATGGATGTACATACAGGGTTTTTGCAGATGTCGTGTGACCCCATTTAATTCTCTAAAACGTTATATATTTTTAAGTAATATGTATTTAAAACAGAAATGTATATGCAAAGGAACAAGAATGTTAGCGGTCAATTAATTGGCGGGGGGGGGGGGGTCACAAACCATCTGGACCACCCTGTACAGTTGTGTCTGCAGAGCCGGTGGCCTGCAAGGCACCCGCAATGCGCCCAATCTCGACAAATCTCAGTCTGAGCAAGTTTAAGATGGGAGAGCACCATGCATAACAGGTGCTATAGGCTGCAAAAAGCGCTGTAAAGGATGGTCCAGGTGTCTTGTGACCCCCAATTAATTGACCTCTGGTTTTTTTCTCCTTTGCTTATTCATGTTTGTTTTCAAACCCATTGGTGCACGAAAAAACATTCTTTGAAGATTAAAATTGGGGTCACAAGACATCTTGACCACCCTGAACTATAATTTAATATCCCTACGCATAAGCTCAAAATCAGAGCAGAAACCTGAGCGATGTCTCAATGTCAGTGTTAACGCAATAAAGTTTCGCCGTTGTATCATTGATTCGTAAGGTTAACGGAAGCTTGAAACACTACAAAAACAACAGACACACACTTTAACGTCCAAAAAAAACCCTTTATTATGAATAATATTGGTCGCAAAAGCCTACGTGCTTAACTTAGAATCCCATTATATATCCGGACCATTGTACATGTGTTTGTTACATATGCTAAAACGTGTCCGAGGTGTTAAATTTGTTTTCCTACTTAAATTATGAATTTTGTATGTTGAATTGCTGTTACATTAATAATGCCACGTACTCTGACATATAGTGTGCATTCTGAATTACCGCTGCATAAATATTACATGTGCCTCGAGGTATAACCTTCGATCGAGCTAATGCTGCAGTTCACTGACATACTTCTCTTTCTGTTTATCCATCACGAGTGGGAAAGTTTGTTTTCAATGGGTACATGTCAAATTAGGTTGCAGAATGAAATGTAGAAGAATATTAGGTTTTCGCGAACGTGGAGCAGATTTTAAAGTCAAGACCAAGCC